CCGCGCCGCCTCGCGGAGCACCCGCCTGCGCCCGCGAGCGCCGGGCGGCGACGCAGCCAGGGGCGCTGAGTACCGGCGCACGGGGCTTGCGGAGTGAAGCCGTAAGTTCGATAAAGTCCGGTCCAGTTACTGCCCTGGTATTTCCCGGACTTTTTCCTCCCTCGTTTCCAGCTTTTAAAATATAAATTGAGGCTGGCGTGGTGGCGCACGCCTGTAATCCCAGCACTCGGGAGGCTGAGGCAGGAGGATCCTTGCGAGTTCGAGCCCACCTGGGCTACAATGTGAGCTCAAGGCCAGCCTGAACTGCATAGCGAGACCCTATCTAAAATAAATAAATAGATAGGTAGGTAGGTAGGTAGGTAGATAGATAGAGCCGGAGGTGATGGCGCACGCCTGTAATCCGAGCACTTGGGAGGCTGAGGCAGGAGGATCCTTTCGAGTTCCAGACCAGCCTGGGCTACAAAGGGAGCTCAAGGCCAGCCTGAACTGCATAACGAGACCCTATCTCAAAAATACAAAACAAAAAAATTAAAAAAAAAAAAAAACTTGATGAGGTCTGACTCACTTTTAGGTTGCGTCTTCTGACGCGTTAATTAGCTCAAAAGGAGAAAGAGTAGACATTATAAGAAGTCCTTAAAAAGAAAAAAATGCGGATCTGTCATTCGGATAGTTCTTTAGGTTTCTAAGGCACTTGGACACGCACTAATCCCTTTAATCCTTCTCAGTTTTGTGAGGTAAACTGCAAGGTTTAGAGCGAATAAATGACTTCTCCATATTCCCCCAGCTGGTGTGTGGCAGCACCGTGCTCAAATCGCAGCCTGCTGATTCCAAACCCAGCTCTGTCTGTACCAGTGTTTTCCATCACCGCGTTTTACAATTCAAAGGCTCTTTAAAATCTTCAACGTGCCCCACGCCCAGTAAGTGAAGACATTTAAGAGATTTCCTGAGGGGGCTGGGGATTTAGCTCAGCGGCACAGAGCCTGCCTGGCAAGCGCAAGGTCGTGAGTTGGATTCTGAGTACCGGAAAAAAACTTAAAAAAAAAAAAAGATTTCCTGAGGGACCAACGGCTAACTACAAGCCACATTTGCACTAAATTTCAGATTTTATTCCTGTGCCTTCCCCCATTTCTCACACTTTTTGTGGACGTCCGTTTCTGTAGGCAGGATCTCCCTGTGTAGCCCAGGCTAGCCAGGCACTTGCCCTTTTTTCTCAGTGCTGGGGTTACAGGAATTTACCTAGCTCTGGAGCATTTTGTGCACACTTTCTATTATGTATGTATGTATTTTTTTATTTATTGGCAGGGTCTCACTATGTAGCCCAGACTGGCCTTGAACTTGAGACAATCCTCCTGCCTCAGCCGCCTCTGTGCAGGGATTACAGGGATGCGCCATGACACCTGGCACTATGGACACTTCAAGAGGAATTATACTAACCCTGAACTAACAGTTTATTTAAGTTTTAATTTGCTTTTTAAAGTGAAAAAGCTAGGCCGGGCATGGTGGCATACGCCTGTAATCCCAGCACTCGGGACACTGAGGCAGGAAGATTGTTAGACATATACCAGCTCCTCGAGATGAATGTAATCATTATGTACTGCAAACCTGTGCTAATAATTTTTTTTTAAAAATTCACCTAGGTGCTGGGCATGGTGGCACATGCATGTAATTCTGGGACTCGGGAGGCTGAGGCATGAGGATCATTGTGAGTTTAAGACCAGCCTGGGCTACC